ACAAAACCCTCTGACTCAGTTGCACCTATTTCTACTGTGGGCAATGCCGATGTACAGTCAGCATCGGAGCAGAGTGTTCAGTATTACGATTATTGCAATACTCGTAAGAATCTTTAATTTTTCTTCTATCAAGAAAATTGGTTCTATTCATCTATTTAGATTTTGGTTCTCGACTCATATAATGAGTAGCTTTGATTTTTGATGAAGCTTTAACCAGTTATCTCGTTTTGTCATGTAGCCGTAGGATATAACGGCACCCTTCCACAGTTTGATGACAAAGATTGTTCAAACACAGCTGTTGGTGGTTCTTATACGGTATGCGCTTCCCCACCAAGCTTCTTGGTGCACCTCCTTTTTTTTTTTTTTTTGAATTAGTTTCTTGGTACACCGTATTTCTGCCAGGGTACTCAACCGGATTATAACGATGCCTTATCCACGTACTACACTTCTGGCTATGGTGGTACGTATCAAACGTACACTCCTCCACCGGAATATCTTCAGCAGCCTTCTGGCTATGGTGGTGCGTATGATTCGACCTATTTTGTGGCGGCACCTAGCGGCTCCGGGAGTTCAAATGGAAGACCTGATAATAATAATAATACTCTCTTCAGCAACACTTCACCGCAGTTGACTATCCATCAGAATCAGATTACGGTATCTATCTATCTATGTATGTGTGTGTGTGTGTGTGTGTGTGTGTGTGTGTGTGTGTGTGTGTGTGTGTGTGTGTGTGTGTGTGTGTGTTTTCAAGTAGGAGGGTTATTGTGTTAACCGATTTGCAAATAGAGACGTCTTATCTTGAATTCTTGATCTGTTTATGTTCTCACAGTTCGGCACTGGTTATCAATACGAGGGCCCCACAACGGGATCTTACCCTACGGTCCGAAATTCTCGTGACTCTGCACAATATGGTCCATCAAATTACGAGCCAAACAATCAAAGATACAAGGGGAGAGAGAATTTTCGTAGGAGTGGAGAAAATAAAGCTGAGATGGAGTTGACTTGTGGTCCTAGGGTCAACAGGGCTAACAACTCCTCCTCGAAGTCGACTTCCGAGGAAGAACAAATTGGTCTTCCTGCTAAAGTGGATAAATTTAATTTGCAAGATTTTCAGACGGTGTACGAGAACGCAAAGTTCTATGTGATCAAGTCTTACAGTGAAGACGATATTCACAAAAGCATCAAATACGATGTTTGGTCAAGTACTCAGAACGGCAATCGGAAATTAGATGCTGCTTTTAACGAAGCGAATGCCAGAACAAATTGTCCCGTCTTCCTATTTTTCTCGGTAATTTTTACTTCTCTCTGTCGTTTTCGTCCGGTAAATACGATTGTTTCTTGACATGTTTTTTTTTTTCTTTTCCCGTCAGGTGAATGCGAGCGGACAATTCGTAGGTGTAGCTGAGATGATTGGGCATGTGGATTTCAGCAAAAGCATGGATTTTTGGCAGCTCGATAAATGGAACGGTTTTTTTCCACTACAGTGGCACATTGTTAAAGACGTCCCTAATACGCTACTTCGTCACATTATTCTTGAAAATAATGACAATAGGCCCGTGACTTTTACGAGGGACACTCAGGAGGTACTATTTTGTAAATTTCAAATTATATAATTTCCGGGGTTTTTTTTGTTTTTAGATTAATTCGTTAGTTTAAATTTTATAAACGATATGGTAATGTAAAGTACATTTTTTTTGGCAGATTGGATTGAAACAAGGGCTAGAAATGCTGAGCATTTTCAAGAACCACTCCGGAAAGAAATCTTTACTTGACGACTACAGTTTTTACGAGAAACGAGAGAAGGAACTTAAAGCAAAGAGGAAGAATGCTGCCAGATCAGCATCTTCTCAAAACCATGGTTTTGAAAACGGTGATTATCGGGTGAGTTTTTCTCGTATTCATTTATGAGAAATGTCTGTATTGCCCTTGTGGACTAAAAATGTTTTTTGTTTGTATGGTGGGTGGTACAGGTTCTTGAGTATGGCGAAGGGGTAAAACGGGAAATATCTGGGAAAAAGACGGATGCTTCGTCTCTCGTCTCTCTAACGATGAATCTTTCTCTGAATTCTTAGACATGCATATCTGTTAGAATAGAGTAGGAGATCAGATTATTACTATTAAAGAGTTGGTTTTTCTTTTCTTTTTGGTTATAAATTTTTGTAGACATATTACTAGCAACTACTACAATTCCTTGTTTGGATATTCTCAATTCTTAAAATTTCAAGAAACTCAAAAAATTATTTTCAACTTATAGCTTTTGAAATTAATTAAGTCAGAAGCACATATGCAAAAAAAAAAAGTG